CCAGCCACTCCGCGGCATGTGGGATCCTCCCGGACCGGGGCACGAACCCATGTCCCCCGCATCGGCAGGCGGACTCTCAACCACTGAGCCACCAGGGAAGCCCTTGCCACTTCTATTTAACACAGTATTGGAAGTCCTAGCCACAGCAATCAGAGAAGGAAAAGAAATTAAAGGTATCCAAACTGGAGGGGAAGAGGTAAAACTGTCACTATTTTCAGATGACATGATACTTTATATAGATAAGTCTAAAGCCTTCACCCAAAAGCTATTAGAACTAATAAATGAAGCAAGGTTCAGGATACAAGATTAACATACAGAAATATGTTTCATTTCTACACACTAATAAATAATGAAAATCAGAAGGAGAAAGTAAAAAAAAATTCTGTTTAAAATCACATGGAAAAGAATAAAATACCTAGGAATAAACTTAACAGAGGAGGTGAAAGACCTACACTCTGGAAACTATGAAACACTGATGAAGGAAATTGAAGATGATACAAAGACATGGAAAGATATCTGTGCTCTTGGATTGAAAGAATTAATATTGTTAAAATGGTCATACTACTCGAAACAATCTATAGATTTAATGCAATCCCTCAAAATACCCATGACATTTTTCACAGAACATATAATCCTAAAATTCATATAGAACCACAAAAGACCCCAAATTGCCAAAGCAATCTTTAGAAAAAAAAAAAAACAAAGTTGGAGTTATAGCCCTTACAGGCTTCAGACTATACTACAAAGCTACAGTAATCAAAACAGTGTGGCACTGGCACAAAAACAGACACATAGACCATTGGAACAGAATAGAGAGCCCAGAAATAAACCCATGCACCTATGGTCAATTAATCTACAACAAAGGAGGCAAGAATATACAATGAAGAATAGATGGTCTCTTTAACAAATGGGAAAACTGGACAGCCAAATATAAAACAATTACATTAGAACATTCCCCAATACCATATACAAAAATAAACTCAAAATGGTTTAAAGACCTAAATATAAGAACAAGAACCATAAAACCCTTAGAAGAGAACAAAGGCAGAACACTCTATGACGTAAATTGTGGCAATATTTTCTTGGATCAGTCTCCTAAGGCAACAGAAATAAAAGCAAAAATTAACAGATGGGACCTAATTAAACTTAAAAGCTTTTGCACAACAAAGAAAATCACTGACAAAACGAAAAGACAAACTATGGAATAGGAAAAAATATTTTCAGATGATGTGACTGACAAGGGGCTAATATCCAAAATATACAAACAGCTCATACAACAATATCAAAAAAACAAATAACCCAATCAAAAAAATGAGTAGAAGACCTGCATAGGCATTTTTCTGAAGAAGACATACAGATGGCTAACAGGCACAGGAAAAGATGCTTAACATCACTAATTATTAGAGAAATGCAACTCAAAACAACAATGAGATATCACCTCACACCTGTCAGAATGACTATCATTAAAAAGTCTACAAATAACAAATGTTGGAGAGGGTGTGGAGAAAAGGGAACTCTTGTACACTGTTGGTGGGAATGTAAACTGGTGCAGCCACTGTGGAAAACAATATGGAAATTCTTCAGAAAACTAAAAATAAACTTACCATATGATCCAGCAATTCCACTCCTGGGTATATATCCAGAAAAACAAAAACACTAATTTGAAAAGATACATGCACCTCAGTGTTCATAGCAGCACTATTTACAATGGCCAAGACATGGAAGCAACCCAAGTGCCTATCAACAGACAATTGGATTAAGAAGCTGAGATACATATATATATATATATATATATATATGAATATTATGCAGCCATAAAAAAGAATTAATACTGCCATTTGCAGCAAGGTGGATAGATCTAGAGAATATTACTCTTAGTGAAATAAGTCAGAGAAAGAAAAATACTGTATGATATCATTTATATGTGGAATCTAAAAAATAATACAAATTAATGTACATACAAAACAGAAACAGACTCACAGACATACAAAATAAACTTGTGGTTACCAAAGGGGAGAGGGAAGTCGGGAGGGACAAAATAGGGGTATGTGATTAACTGATACAAACCACTATGTATGAAATAGAAAAGCAAGAAGGATATACTGTAAGCACAGGGAATTATAACCATTATCTTGCAATGGATATACTTAATCCCTAGCAATCCCTTGCAATAACCTATAATGGAGTAAAATCTGCAAAAATACTGAATCACTATACTGTACACCTGAAACTAACATAATATTGTAAATCAACCACACTTCAATTATTAAAAAAAAGAAACAATGTTTCATTTAAGAATGACTTTTAAAAAATGAGCTCCCAAGGAACCCCCTGGAGAATATAACAAAAGTCCCCAAATAGTCAGAAACCTGTAAACAAGGACCCCTAGCAGTGGAGACTCTCCACTGGTTTTCAATTTTACAGCCTTTTTTTGTGTGTGCGCTTTTCTTTGCTGTGATCTAAGAATACAAGAATTTCGAAGATTGGGACTGACATAGGTACACTAATATGTACAAAATGGATAACTAATAAGAACCTGCTGTATATAAAAAAAAGAATTTCGATGATTAAAAAACAAACAAACAGGTTAGATCATGCCCTGCGGGTTCTCAAACAGCTTTACTAGATCCCATCCTCAAAATGATGAAGTTAAAATGGTTTGGCAATTAGCGACCTACAGGATGTGGTCCCAACTTCCTTTTCAATTACTTGCTCCATGCTCTCTGTCATATGCCCTTGGCTCAGACTGTATCAGCCAACTCTTGATAGCTTTGCACTTTGCTCATCTTGCTCCCTCTCCATGAAAAGTCTTTCCCACTCCCATCCTGTCACTCTACCCACCATTCTGTTTACAGAACTCAAATTCCTTCCCTCATGAGGAGAGTAAGCTGCATCCCTCTACCGGAGGCCTTTGTTGCCCTAATTCCATTGGACCTGGGATAATAGATAACTCTGCCTGGGTCTGTTTCTCTACAGACCCTAAACAGCCAAGGGGCAGAGCCTGGCTGTATACGGTTGTGTCTCCTAGTGTCCAGCCCAGAGCCTTGGATGCAGGAGGTCGTTGGTTATGGAGTGACTGGTGTGTTCATCTTCCTCTTTTTAAAATTCAAGTTTTATTAATTTGAAACATGCCATGCATTCACATTAAAAAAGTACAAGAGTGAAGAGTCACTCTGTTCTCTAGCCACCTAATTCCTTCTTATGGAAACAACCAATATTATTTTATTTGTACGTATATATTCTCCTTCCTTTCTGGAATCAATGAGATCACACTCAAACAGTTTACAGTTTGCTATTTCACTTTGCTATACTCATATACACATGTATTAAAATTTTGTTTAACCAACTGACTATTGAAAATATTTAGTTTGTTTTCATTCTGTTGTTATTAAGAACAGTGACACAGTGGTTGAGAGTCCGCCTGCCGATGCAGGGGACACTGGTTCGTGCCCCGGTCCAGGAAGATCCCACATGCAGCAGAGCGGCTAGGCCCGTGAGCCATGGCCACTGAGCCTGCGCGTCCAGAGCCTGTGCTCCGTAAGGGAGAGGCCACAAGAGTGAGAGGCCCGCGTACCACAAAAAAAACAAAAACAAAAAAACCCACAACCCCCCCCCCCAAAACAATGCTGCAATTTATACTGTATATTTGTTATGTTCACATGTGTGAGTATTTACACAGGAAAAATTTCTAGAGTGGAAATGTTCAGTCAGTGGGTGTGGGCACTTTTAATCTTGATCAGCATTGCCTAATGGTTCTCCATAAAGGAGTCTCTGTCCCCACACCTTTGCCAACACAATGTGTTATCAAACTTTTGACAAATTTTATTAAAAAAAATAAAGTTAGATCTTATTGTAAGTGTGTGTGTGTGTGTGTGTGTGTGTGTGTGTGTGTGTGTGTGTGTAACAAATTCATGATCATCCCTTGGGTTGAAAATCATCAAAGGCATGTGGCGGTGTTGACAATCTGGAGATTCTAACCCTATGTTCATAGAGTGTAATTCTTATTTGACTCCTAGCATAATTAAGGAATGGGGTAGGAAAACGTCATGGATAGCCAGCTGCTTTAATAAAGAGATTTTACTTTTTTTAGAGCAATTTACAGCTTTTAGACGCATTTTACATACATTGATTTTGGCCATTGGGTACATTCCTGTATTTTCAATTTAAAGCAGAACCTGGACACAGCTGAATGAACACATGCTTTGCAGATTGATGTTTTGGATAAAATTTTGGGGTATCTCTTGATTATTTTATGAAGGAGATCAGAAAACAGTTTGATATCTGCTCTATAGCTGTGTTGTGAGGATTAAGTGGTATGATGTTCGTAAAACTTTTTGTCACAGTGCCTGACGCATAATAGGCACTCAAGAGCTGCCTCCCTCCCTCCCTATTTTTTGGCTGCGCTGCGGCGCGGCATGCGGGACCAGAGATTGAACCCATGCCCCTTGCAATGGAAGCGAGGCGTCTTAACCACTGGACCGCCAGGGAAGTTCCTGTAGCTGTAATTATTAGTTAATAAAATATGTTGTTATATGTTTTGACGGCAGATTAAGGAGTTGTCAATACCTTGGTGATATAACCTGCCTTCTTGGAGGTAATAAGCTCTGTTGTCTGGTAAATTCCTCTCCAGCACTCATTAGCAGTGTGATTTGGAGCACACCCCCTAACCTCTCTGGCCTCAGTTTTGTCACCTGTAAAAAGGAAGAATAAAAGTCAAGACTCAAGGTTTGCCTGAAGTTTAAATGTGTAATACTCACAAGTGCTTACTAAACATTAATTCTCTTCTTTCCTCCCAATCCAATGGCGGAGTCATCAAACGACCCATCAAACAACGCGATAACCCCAGGAAACCTGAAGGACTGAGACCGTGGCGACGCGGGCGATCCAGTCGCGGCCGAAGCAGCAAGTGTCGAAACGGTCACGGAGCGCCTTCCGGTCTGCTCTGCCCTGCCCCACTTCCAGTTCCAGGGGTTGCGTCATCGCTGGGCGACTGGTTGCGCGTTTCCGGGAGAGACAGTGCTGGGGGTGCGATTCCGGGTGAAGGGAGGTGGCGCGAGGCGGAGGGCGGGGGTCGCGCGTCGTGGGGCCTGACCTCGGCGGCGTCCCAGTCCGCGCCCAGGGCTCGGCGCAGCCATGGAGAGCGGAGGGCGGCCCTCGCTGGGCCAGTTCATCCTCCTGGGCACCAGCTCCGTCGTCACCGCTGTCCTGTACTCTTTGTACCGGCAGAAGGCCCAGGTCGCCCAAGAGCTCAAGGTCAGTGCTGGCGCCCGTCTGACCTCAGCCGGTCATCCTGCCCGGGGTAATGGTGAGCCCCCGATTCGCCGTGGGCCGTTCCACCCTCGGAAAAGATCCAAGAGAAGGAAACAGGTTCTGAGAGGGTGTCGCCCGGCCGGTAGACGGAGGAACTAGGATCAGAACTCCGGTCTTGTGATAACTGCTTTACCGCCCCCTTTCTCCTAATTCCCTGTCATTCAGAATGAATCTTGACTTAATTATTTTATTCGACAAATATTTATTGAACACCTGCTATGCGCCAGGCGCTGAGGGTGTCGCGTGGGTGGAACAGACAGAAACCCCTGACCTCATAGAGATTCCATTCTAGTCCAACCAGACAGACAATAAACAAGTCAATCAGATGGCGTGACACATGGGGATAAATACTACAGAGTAATGCAAGGAAGAGAGGAAATGGAGTGCTGGAGAAAGGTGACATTTAAATAAGGTGACACTTAAATAGGGTGACATTTGAGCAGAGCCCAGGAAGACTTGAGGGGGTCAGTGCAGGTGCCTGGGGAAGAGTAATTCAGACAGAGGGAACTGCAAATACAGAAGCCCTAGATTTACCCACTACATAACCACTCAGCTCCTTGCTTCTAAAAGACTTCCTTTTTATATTAATAGCCCTTTAGAAAATGCCACTCCGTTTCCTGAGCTGCACTTTGCAACTTACACAACACGTTTCCATCTTGGTTTTAGTTTCTCTTCACAGTAATTTCTTGGGGTAGTTAAAATGACCTCCGGATTGCAGATCAAGAAATCGAGACTCCGAGGAAAGGTCTATACAGCTAGTCAGCTTGGAACTTAAACTTAGGTCTTTTGATTCCAAGTATAGGATTTTTTCTTGTTGACCACATTGCTCAGTTGTGAATGTGTGAGCAGCTCATGAGAGATGGACCTCATTAGGTCAGAGACAGGATCTTATTTACTCTTCTTTCCTTCTAGGTTCTAATCCAGTGCTTAACAAAGAGTAGGTGCTCAGTAAATATTTGTGGATTTGTTTTAGCTGCAATTTCATAATACAACAGTTAGGGCTTAATTTGACATTTATTTGAAAGACGGATTCCTAGACCTAACTTCATTATCATCAGATTGTTTACATTAAGAGCTTAGAAACAAATGTGCGAACTCCCTGCCATGAAGGGAGTTTTGGAATCTGCCTGGAATGCACCTAGTTACCAAGGAATTGAATTTGTGGTGTGAATGACATCCTGGTGAGATGCCTTCTTGTTTGCTTAATTAAATAAGTCACTCCTGAAGTGATTGGCTGTGATTGTAACTGATACCTTACTTTCTGACTCCGAATCAGAAATCACATTGGTATCAAGTTGGCGGGAGGTGGGATCCTCTGAAGCAGTGACCCACCTTTGGGTGACCTTAAAAGCTTTGCTGATTAGTTCCTAAATGAGGATGAAAGAAATAACCCCTTCTTGGAAAAACAGTTGGGACTTCTCATATTTTAGGTTCTATTTTCTTGATCAGATTATAAAACTTACAGAGTAGGGCTTCTGTCTTATCCTTTTGCATCTCTCATGGTGATGGGAATGCATATTTATCACATGCCTACTATGTGCCAGCCCCTGGTCTGGATTCTTTCACACTTAAGTTTCATTTAATCCACATGAAAATCCTGTGAGATTGTTTCCCCCACCTCTTACAGATTTTGAAACTGAGACTCAGATAAATTAAGTTGCCCAAAGTCACAGTAGATGCATTGAAGCTTGATTCAAGCCCAGGTCTTTCTGACTGAATTCCCCCTCCCTTTTTAAAAAAATTTAACCAACTATCCTATGGTGGATACTTTACTAGCTGTGTGACTTTGGGCAAATTACTTCACTTCTCTGAGCCTCAGTTTCCTTATCTGTAATTGGGGATAAAAATGTCTGCCGTATAGGGATGGTATGAGCATTAAATGGGGTTATGCATTTAAAGTGCTTAGAGTGCCTGGAATGTAGTATATCTAAGTGCTTATTTATTTGCTAATTTATTCATCAAATATGTATTTAGTGCCTGCTATGTGTCAGGCACTGTCTCGGCACTAGGGGGACAGCAGTGAACAAGACCAACAAGGTCCTAGCCCTCCTAAGTTCAATAGTCCAGTGGAGGGAGAGACAGATAATAAAGGAGTAAATAAACCGAGGGTTAGTTGTTGTTATTGCCATTGTTTTTGTTATCTTCCCAGTGTACATGGTTAATAAGCTTTTATTGACCTTGCTCCTGTTTCTTACTGCGTAGCAGCAGCTTAAACTTAGAGTGACCTTAGTATGTATCCAGTACCTCCTCACCTCTTTAGAGGTTACTCATCTGGCGTCCATAAGATTTGTTGATGGAAATACCTGAAAGCAGGAACTGTCCTTCATTCATCCCTGAATCCCTAGCGCCCAGCACAGTGCCTGGCTCAGGAAATGTTCAGTGGTTTTATTAATTTTATCTTACTTTTGATGCAGCAGTAACAGGCTTGGTTGGTTCCCACGCACGGCAGGTTGGAAACTGAATTGGAAGGGATGGAGAACTGGGGATTGTGAGAGGAGGGTAGCAGCAGAGGTAACCGTGCTTGCCTGATTATGAGGGAAGAGAGGCAAACTGAAAAGTAGAAGAATAGTGTTTGGCACCAGTTCTCGAAGCCTTGCCCTGTAATGCAAAGGCAGCCCTTTATTATAATGTCTCATGCAGAGCATGAACTGACAAGGGCCCAGTGATAATTGTACCTACCATGGCCCGAGCCCCGACCATGTACTGGTCACTACTTGAGGTGCTTTTACGCATAAGCCCTTTGGCTGCATGGTTCTGTGTTGTCAGGAAGAGATCAAATTACATTCAGATCTATGGGATGCAAATTGATTAGTATCTTTTATATTTTTGTCTTAAAAAGTTAAAATGAAAAGGAGTGAATGTTTGGTTAACTGGAGGAAGAGTGTAAGTGGCACCCCCATTCTGCAGATGGCAGAGATGAGGCGCTGCCCCAAGCCTGTTTATATGGTTCTGGGACACAGCTTCGGAATCAGATTCTCCGTAGTCTCCTTCCTGCCTGATGTCCTTAGTCTCTCAACGTGAAAAACGTAAATAGTCTTTTTTTCTTTTTTCACTTGTTTGAGCATATCAGTGTTCAGCAGTCAGTTCAATGTGTTGTTTCCATTTAGGGAGCTAAAAGAATCCACTTGGGTGAAGACTTAAAGAGCATTCTTTCAGAAGCTCCAGGAAAATGTGTGCCTTACGCTGTTATTGAAGGTATGTTTATTTATTGGTAAAATGAAGAATAACTCCCTCTTCTGAAAGTTTGGTAAAGATCTTCTTGGCTGACATTGAGGGCCTTTTGTAGCCTTGGGGCAGTGGTTCAGAACTTGGACTTTGGGGTCAGAAAGACCTGTGTTACTGCTGTGTGATCTTGGCAAAATTATGCAACCTTTTCAAACCATCATCGCTCCATCTCTAAAATATACGTTACAGGGTTGCTGTAAAACTGAAATGATGTGATCCGTGTAAACTGCTTAGCAGAGTGCCCCAAAGCATAACTTATGGTGATGATGTTTTCATCATGTTGATTAATTAAACTCACTCAAACGAAAGACAAAATTTAAATTACTTTAAAGGAAAGGGCAGAACAGTTCTTCAGAAATAAAATAATTTGTTTCCATTCAGGAGCCGTTCGGTCTGTTAAAGAAACGCTTAACAGCCAGTTTGTAGAAAATTGCAAGGGGGTGATCCAGCGGCTGACGCTTCAGGAGCACAAGATGGTGTGGAACCGGACAACTCGCCTCTGGTGCGTAGCCTTGCTCCACGGGCCCAAACCGCACAGGTGGTCGGTTCAGGTGTCGGTGTCCTGGCCCTGTTTCCATGTCTTCAAGCTTCTCCCGAGACAGGGCGGAGACCGGTCTCTCAGTGCTGCTTATATTCTTGTGCGTGGTCTGAGCACTTCTTCCACTGCCGTCACCTAGGCGTCCTGTCCAAATGCATATTCCTGGGCTCTGTTCCAGACCTACTGAGCCAGAATTTCCAGGATAGGGGACCTGGAGTCTGTGGATATGCATACTAAGGTTTGAGAAACACTGATTTATGGCATGGGTTAATGAAAGTACCTGTTAAGATAATTTCATGCTATTACATGGAATTCCATTTTTCCAGCTGATCGTAGGAGGGTTTTGTTTTGGATTTCTATTTTAATTTTTATTGTGGTAAGAATACTTAACCTGAGATCTTCCCTTTTAACCAAATTTTAAGTACAACAGTACAGTCCTGTTAACTCCAGGCACAAGGTTGTACAGGGAATTTTGAACTACTCATCTTGTAGAAGTGAAACTTTACACCCGGTGAACAGCAACTCCCCATTTTCTTTTTCCCTCAGCCCCTGGCAACCACTGTTTTACTGTTTCCATGAGTTTGGCTACTTCAGATACCTCATGTAAATGGAATCGTGCAGTACCTGTCCTTCCTTCCGTCTGCCTCAGTTTGCTTTGCTTAATGTCCTCCAGGTTCATGCATGTTGTCACATGCGGCAGGATTTCCTTTTTTTTTTTAATTTTTATTTTTATAAAGGCTGAATAGTATTCCCTTGTTACGTATACACCACATTTTCTTTATTCATCTGTCGACAGACATTTAGGTTGTTTCCGTTTCTTGGCTGTTGTGAATAACCTTGCAGTGAACACGGGAGCACAGATGCCTCTTCTAGATCCTGATTTTAGTTCTTTTAGATATGTCCTCTGACGTGGGATTGCTGGGTCGTATGGTAGTTCTATTTTTAATTTTTTTGAGGCATTTATTTAAGATTAAAAAAATCAGTCTGTCTTACAGGGGCAAAGGGAAATAAAGATTAGCGGTGATCTGTGACAATATTTGTTGCCCACTGAGATCGCCTGAGAACCTAAAAAACCGAGCTTCCCTCTTCTGAGGCTCTGGACAATTGTGATTTCTGTTGTACTCTTCCACTTGCTTCAGACTTCAAACTGTCCTCCTGGCATCGAGGTGCTCTCCACCCCTGCCCGGGTGCGAGGTATCTGCCATCCTTTGTTTTATCTTGAGTTCTCTTGTAGGAACGACTGTTCCAAGATCATTCACCAGAGGACCAACGTGGTGCCCTTTGACCTGGTGCCCCACGAGGATGGCATGGATGTGGCCGTGCGGGTGCTGAAGCCCCTGGACTCGCTGGATCTGGGCCTGGAGACGGTGTACGAGAAGTTCCACCCCTCCGTCCAGTCCTTCACGGACGTCATCGGCCACTACATCAGTGGGGAGCAGCCCAAGGGCGTCCAGGAGACCGAGGAGATGCTGAAGGTGGGGGCCGCCCTCACGGGGGTGGGCGAGCTGGTCCTGGACAGCAGCTCCATCCGTCTGCAGCCCCCCAAGCAGGGCATGCAGTACTACCTGAGCAGCCAGGACTTCGACAGCCTGCTGCAGAGGCAGGAGTCCAGCGTCAGGCTCTGGAAGGTCCTGACGCTGGTGTTCGGCTTTGCCACGTGCGCTACCCTCTTCTTCATCCTCCGGAAGCAGTATGTGCAGCGTCGAGAGCGACTGCGCCTCCAGCAGATGGAGGAGGCGTTCCGGGAGCACGAGGCCCAGCTGCTGAGCCGAGCCAACCCCGAGGACCGGGAGAGTCTGAAGAACGCCTGCGTCATGTGCCTGAGCAACTTCCGGTCTTGCGTCTTCCTGGAGTGCGGGCATGTGTGTTCCTGCGCCGAGTGCTACCAGGCCTTGCCGGAGCCCAAGAGGTGCCCCATCTGCAGGCAGGCGATCACCCGGGTGATTCCCTTGTACAACAGCTAATGGTCTCGAGGCCCCACAGTGAGACCCCCCGCCCCGCTTCAGGGCTGTTTATCTCCAGGCCTTTAGAAGAGCAGTGGTGGGCGGCTGTCATCTCACAGCCCCAGCAGCAGAGGGCGGCCTTTCCAACGTGCAGGGGACCTTTTCCGGCACTGAGCACAGACTCACAGCTGCATCCCGGGGCAGGCGCCGTGGCGCCGCGTCCCTTCCCTGGAGGCCCTGAGCGTGCGTGGCTGAGGACAGCTCACCGCTCAAGTGCCAAAGTCAGTGGCCTCCAGCTTTTCTGTTCTGGTGTCTTCTCGTCCTTTCTGGTGAGGTGTCGGTCCCTGTGGACTTGAGCCTTGAATGACTCGGCCAGAGGTGGGGCAAAGTTGCCTTGCGGAGCCGCTTCTGAAGAGACTGCGCAGTCTCCTTCCCCCTTGCTTACAGCCCGGAAAAAAGTTGTCAGGCTGGACGCGTCACTCGAGTCCCTTTCCCTCACGTGCTGGCCTCCTACACGTGCGCACACGTGTGTCAGGACAAAAGGAAGTGAAATCCTGCATCTGCCCCCTGCCTGACAGGGCGGGACTCTGGTCAGAGAATGGAGAGAGGTCATTTGCGGGGGCACTTGGACCGGTGCCCATTCAGTGATCCCCGTGGCAGTGAGGATGGGGCCGCTTAGCTGCAGCCCTGCTGGGGCCACTACGGACCTAACGAGAGGGCCACCAGAGCACGTGTCCGCCCTGGCTTGGAACTCCCGAGGCCTGAGCGGGCTGAGGGCTCTGCTTTTCCCAGAGGAAGCAGTAAGGGCACTGCTGCCCCAGCCTCGGGCTTTCCCAGCTCCACTCCAAGGCTGGCCCCACGGAAAAGAAGCAGCCGGCATCCTGAGCGCAGAGCCTCTCCCGGCCCCCCGGCCCATCCCTGGAAAGTTCACATCCCGTGGGTGTAATCACACCGCCCTTCTCACAGGCCTGCTCACCCCTCAGCTGTCCCGCTCGAGTTTGTGAGTGTGGAGAAGTGGGGAAGCCTCTCTCACCACCTCTGAGTGTCCAAGGCCACGTGCACGGCGCTTTCCTCTCTCGCTTCCCTGGCTTTGAATATCCATGCCCGATCCTCCTTTGTGCGGGGGAGATGGGGGTGCTCTCAGGGGGCTGACGTCGGTTCTCTGCGCGTCCAGCATGGACGGCACAAATAAAAGACGTTATAGCCACGTGTCAGCCTCTTGCTTGGAACGAGAGTTCAGCAGCTAGGCTGAAGCTGCCCCGGGATGGCATTGAATCCTGTTATGGTGGAATGAGCTGGGGACGTGGAGGCCTCTGTGCATCCTACCTTGGCTGCAAGGTGGTGCAGCTTGGTGATGCTGAAGCGCAGGGGATGCTGGGGGGTGCTGGGGGGTCTCCGGTCAGCCTGAGAGAGGGCCACCCCGGAGACGTGCCCGCAGGTCACGCCTGGCCTCGCTGAGAGTCGTCTTTGAAGACATCTGTGCTGACGTCCTGAACACAGGCAGTGGGATTTCACCTGCTGGGAGAATGGGACGGGTGTTGGGGACAGCAGGGAGGACACTAACATATGTACCGGATGCTCTTTCAGACTTTAATTTCATTGTAAGTCGATGTTCACAAGACCCTGCAGGCTCTCATGGCATCTCATCCTACAGATGAGGAAGCAAGGTCGGAGGGGGGATGTTCACTGGCTCAAGGACACACAGCAAGTAAGGGTGGGGGTGGGGTGGGGTCCACATTTAAACTCCCAGCTGCTTCAGACCCCTGACCCTCCTCACGGCGGTGGGGCTAACGGGTCCCTCAGTGCTCACGGGAACGCCCCACAAGGTGCTGGTGCCCCACGTCAGTGGACGAGGCCACACTGGAGGAGGAGGCGGACGTGCGAACCCACTTGCCCATAGTGAGTCCTGTCCAGGGAGGCGGTAAGACCCTGGCTTTACACATAGGTGGCAGGGAGTGGGCAGGGAGAGGGGGGACTGATGGGGCTGACCTCTGAGCGTGTCAAAATGTCTGCCGTTTTCCTGTGTCCTTTCAGCAGACACTTTGAACGAGGGTCCAGGTTTTAGAGGATGAATGAGCTGCCTGTGTGTGGGGACGTGGGGGGCTTGTGTGCTAATCTGTCAGAGTTCAGCCCTTGGCATTAGATTCCATGAGTAGATCTGATCACGTGATGGAAAAGCAGCAAAGGCAGCCTGCCCTTACCCCGGTCTGACTCAAATCCTGGGCAGACCAATTCTGTGTGGAGTGTTCCTCCAAGTGGAGTTGAGTTACCCATCGTGGGAGACACAGGAGCAACACACCGTCTCTGCCTCAGGAAGTGGCAGCTGGTTGGGAACACGAACACACACGTACCCAGATTCCGGATCTGAGGTCCACACTCGGTCCTAGCCTGGCTGGACTGAGACTGCCCCATGCTCTCCATCACCTGTGCCAGTTCCCACCTTCCATTTAAGGAGCCTCATCACCAGCAGGGTTGAAGGGGCTTAAACCAATCCGTGGGACTGAGGCTGGGGGTTGGAGGTGACTTGGAGACAAGCAACTGACCGTGGGGTTGTTGTGAATTTTGACTCAACCCTTATGCTCAGCCTCTAATCGTAGGCAGACAGCATCAGGCAGGGATCGTCTTGAGTAATTGCTCCTGGTGTTTTGGAATTCTGTGCGAGGCACTTGATGAGCATGAATGCTTGCAGTCCTGCAAAGTGGGTATTGTTCCCCCTGTTTTACAAGCGAGAACAGCGAGGTCCAGCAGGGTTACATTTTGCCTACAGCCATGCATAGTCATGAGCCTGGCTCCAGGTATCAAGTATGTTTCTAAGATTTAGGGCGAACCAGCAGGGGAGGCTATATCACCCCTTTTTACAGCTTATGTGATTTGCTCAAGGCTATCAAGGTCTGACTATAAAGCCCTTTGCCTTTAGTCACATTGAAGCTGAGAGGCTAAGAGGGGAAATTGTTCAAGCAACAACTGAAGCCAGTCAGCACCTTGACAGTCACGAGTCACATCCCCTGGTTCTGTAGACGCAGGCTGAGGCTTATCCTGGTGGAGCAGAAGCCAGGAGGCAGCTCTTTGGAATCCTAAGTCATTCAGAACGGTGATGGGAAATTCAAACAGCAAACAACGTGACAAACCAGGCCAATCTCTGACACCCTTTGCAGCCCTGGTCCTAGGCTGGGTGTGGACAGATCTGATGGGGATGGTCCCGCAGGGCCTCGCGAATGCTCAGAGGCAGAGGCTGTCAGGTTTGGTATCCTTGCCGGGCATTTGTTCATCTCAGAGACATTGGCTAAATGTGTGTTCTGTGCCTGGGGTGCAGAAACAAATGATGCAGTCCCTGCCCTCACTCAGAATTTTTTTTTTTTTTCCCTCGGTACGCGGGCCTCTCACTGTTGAGGCCTCTCCCGTTGCAGAGCACAGGCTCCGGATGCGCAGGCTCAGCGGCCATGGCTCAGGGGCCCAGCCGCTCCGCGGCATGTGGCATTTTCCCGGACCGGGGCACGAACCCGTGTCCCCCGCATCGGCAGGCGGACTCTCAACCACTGGGCCACCAGGGAAGCCCTGAGAATTGTCTTTTACTGTGTCCTTATTGTTTGAAAACGACTAAGCCCCACGGGTCGGATGGGTGCCTCTCGGCTGTTGGAGTGTTTGTGGTTCACAGAATGTCTGCAGCTGGGATGGCCTTTGAGATTAGCCTGGTTAGAGCAGATTCCCTGACCATTCAAAATAAAGCAACCAAGGGCAGGGTATCCTTGCCGAAGGGGAGCCAAACAGAGAACACCTACCCCACAGAGCCTAGAATGATCTATTTAAAACACCAATCTGACCACGTCCCTCTTCTGCTTGAAGTCCTTCCCCTGGCTCCCTGTCACCTCCAGGGTCCAGCCCTGGTTCCTGCAAGGCTTATGAAGGCATGTGACCCAGCCCTTGGCCACCTCTCCAAGCCTCTCCACATCTGTCTCTCTCACACTTGTGGCTCCAGCCACACCGAGCCGATGAGCTTCCTTAAACACGTTGCTGTTCCTGCCTCCTAGCCTTTGCTATTGCCGAGTCCTGCCTCTGGCATTCTGGTCCTTTCTTGACCTTGCTAACATCTCCTCACCCTTCAAAACTCAGCTTTAGGTGTCCTCTCCAGAAAACCCTTCCCTGACTTTCCCCACGCAGGCGGGGTTAGGTGCCTCTCCCCTGAGATTCCATAATTCAGTCCTGTTCCTGCTCTGAACCCATGTCTTGGGCAGGAACTGTATCTTATTTCTGCTCCAGCACAATTTTTTTAGGTCATCACTCTATATTCGTTAGAGCTAACATTAGGGCTTGCTCTTTGCTAGGTACCGGCGAAAGACTGGACGTGATCAATGTCATTTAATCCTCACTGTGAGCTATGTGTTTGTATTATTCTTACTTTAAGGAAAAAGAAGTCAAGGCCCAGAGAGGTCAAGTTGCTCGAGCACCCAAGAAAGACAGGATTTAAGTCCAGGCAGTCTGACTCCGGAGCCCGAGCCCTTAACCACTGAAAGTACATGGAATGAATGAGAAAACCAACGAATGAGATAGTGGATGTGGGGCCAGCAATCCTGGGAGGCTGCCTGTGGGAATTGGTTTTTGGACCGGAGATGAGGGCCATGGCTTGGTTGTAAGGAACAAGGGAAGGGCCTCTCTGAGGGCCCAGATCCAAGATGGATTGTGTAAGAGAAACATCACGTCCAATGACCTGCCCAGAGCTTTGAGGGCTCTACACAGGAAAGTCAGGACAACATCATTGCGTGGTGGTAAATGGTCCGGACTGGGAGCCCAGAGGCTGCCTTTCTCTCGGGTCCTCGCTCTGTTGCTGTGTGATCTTAATGGAGTGATGTAACCACTCTAGGCTTCACTTCTGTTTGTGAAAGGAGCAGATTGGATTAGACGCTCCCCAAGGCTCCACTCAGCTCTGCCATTTTGCATGTCTGTGACACAGCGAGTGGATGAGGAAGGAGGGAGAGCAGTTTCGAAGCCCTGAGATGAAGACCCTCTTCAGGCGAGCTGCCTGCCGCAGACTCAGAGCCATGTTCCCGGAAAGCCCGGGAGATCAGCACATTTTCTCTCTAATTAGATAGTGTTAACTTATCAATTTTGAATGAGCTAAGTTTCCATGTACGATGTCCTGAATCGCTCCCCGGGGTGCTCATTAGTCATTTCTCTTGCAGCTGCTGCCTTATTGTTCTTCAGATGCCAGCCGAGGGACCTGGCATTTCCCTTCCCCGAGAATGGGGCACGTGAGGCCAAGCCAGGGACACTGGCACTGGTCAGAGGGGCTGCCCAGGCCTGGGGGAGGGCCCTCAGCTCTCGACCTTTACCCTGTGTCCCTGCCAGAGCCACTGCCTCACATTAGGTGCCTCAAATCCAGATTCCTCTAGGATTGGGCTGTGACCCTGGAGGGCCACAGCTGAACTCAACAAGCACTTATTAAGCACCTAGTGCACCAGGCACCTTGGGTCTTGAACCTGAATGGTCTCTAGGCTGGGGAGAGCGGGGTACGTATGAAGTCATACTAATATTAACGTCCAAATTGCCATAACTTCAGCCTCCCCCTTCCATGGTCTTCCCTGGTGTTTAAGGTGCTTCACAGGATGGGGCTTCATTCATGCTTGCAGTAAGTTGGCTCACAGTCTGCATTTCTTCCTGCCCTTCCCCACCCCAGGGCTTGTGATGGGAGCCCGCTCATGCTGCAATCTCTACCACGACCTCCAGGTGGCGCTGTACTCCTATGGTTGAGGCCGCTGGAGGCCTTGCGGGAGAAACTGAGGTGGCGCTTCCAAGGGCGGGTGCAATTTTCTCTCTCCTGAGGCGTGGGGCACAGGCCTGAGAGAAGAGCCTGAAAAGGACCCTGGGCTGCTGATCCCAGGTCCCGCGCACAGGCTGGGAAGGGGAGAAGCAGGAACGTTCTCTCTGGTTCCTTCCTTTCTCTGCCCAACACACCAGGAAGCCAGGTGCAGATGTGAAAATTCTGAGAAACCCAGAAAACTCAGGGGAAAAGAATCCTGCATTTCTCTCCCTATAATTTTCCAGGCATTCACATCTTTAAATATACTAACCATGATTTCTTTCAACAAAAAATGAGACATGCATAATGCATCGCATGTTCTTAAAATACCCAGATGACTTCACACTGGTAAAGGAGGCTTAAAAAAATTGTACGGCATAGATTTTGATTTTCTCCCCAGAAGCTTTCTCTTA